CACACACACACACACATACTCAATCGCCACGTCACGACAGGCACACAAAGTGCTCTCGCTATCAATTCTTCTACGGTCAAATTTCCCCTTCACCGTGTGGGACTACCGTCTCTCCACGCCCCTCCCCCCCTCCCCTCCTCAACCTCTCCCATCCATTAAAAAATCAAATATTTACTAGGGTCTCCCATTATTTTGAAAAGGGTTGTCCGAGAAATCGTTGCTCCCCCACCTCCCACCCGACTCCATACAAAATAAAACATTTTAATCACCCATTTTTCCTCCCCCCCCCCCTCACACTTATGCTGTTATTCGGACTTTATTTCTCAAAATCCTGTACCACACTGTACCAATAAACGCATTGTGCAAGTCTGTGTCTCCTTATGCGCGATGAGACGTCGCGTTGTGCTCGGCAGTCGCTAGCGAGGAGTCGCAAGGTGTAATATCCTTATGCGCGACCACGTCATCACACACCACACACACACGGCGTGTTGTGTTGACCGGCACTCCTTCCTTGCCTAGGTATTTTGACCAATGGTGATGCTCTAAACCTGTCACACCCCCAGTCTGTCGAACCAAACGAGACCCTCGTTCGCTTCACGGATCGATCGCAGGCGACAGTCGCGCGCGGCTAGACGTTGTTTTGCGTGTAAGGAGACGTGTTCTTTATAATCTTACTTGTTTGACTTTGGAGCTGCAAGGACGGAGCGCGACGCGACGCGACGTGGCGTCACGCATAAGGAGACATAGGCTAAAAGCTGAACGCCCTTCCAACACTCGTAACCCTATCCGTACGTCGTGTTTTACCTTCGTATCCATACGACATGGGGAACTCTGTGCCACCACTTTCCAAAGAGGAAATTAATTTTACTCGTTAACCCGATCCCTATGCTTTGCCTAAGGTCTGTCAAACTGATTTGTTTTTAATACTGAAAGTTTCAAAGAGATCTTCGAACTAGAAGTTTTCTAAAATGTAAAGAATATAACCCCAGGGGTGCACAATGATCCCAGCGCGTACGTATAGGGTTAAGTTATTGATATAGTATAAGAAGAGGGACCTCCGAATTAAACACACATCTCCGATAAGGACGACCCAAATGTGTTGAGAGAGAGAGAGCCTTGAAAACTCCACTAAACGATCCGAGATCAATAACACTCAGTCGGGGATTCGAACCAGAGCCCTCCGTTCTGTAGTCCAGCACAATACCAGCTGAGCTTATGAGGCGTCTGTGATTTTGTTTCTTTTTTGTGGGGGGAGGG